ACAATTGACCCCTGTGACCTTGAATATAATTGAAGGTCATTCATTTGAACAAACTTGGTAGCCCTTCACCCAAGCATGCTACTGGCCAAATATCATCTCCCTGGGCAGTTTGGTTATCAAGAAGAAGATGTTTAAAGTTTTTAACATATTTGACCCCTGTGACCTTGAAAATGGGTGAAGGTCATTAATTTTAACAAAATTTGTAGCCCTTCATCCCAGTTTGCTTGTGACCAAATATCGACACCCTAGGCCTTTAGGTTATTAAGAAGAAGTCGTTTAAAGTAAAATATTGACACCGGACGACGGACGGACGGACGGACGACGGAAGCCGTGCCACGGCATAAGCTCACTTGGCACTTCGTGCCAGGTGAGCTAAAAATGGTGCCCTTTGGTGTTAATTTGGGAAAATGAAAAGTATACAATTAGCTTGTAACTGATTTTAATGTAATAATGATACGAGAAATTGTAATGTTAGCATTATGATAGAGGAATCATATAAAATAAAATGATTGACAACCCTGAAACTTGAACTTGTCCGAGATATTATTGTCCTTTGTAATTGTGTGAAGTTTGATCAAAATCCCTGAAGGCGTGAAGCCGCTAGAGCGCTGACAATGATTTTTCTAAAATAAGTAACAGTGACCTTGACCCGACAACCCTGAAACTCAATATTGTCAGAGATATTATGGTCCTTTGTTGTTGTGTGAAGTTTGATCAAAATCCCTTAAGGAATGAAGCCACTAGAATGCTGACAATGAATTTTCTAAAAATAGTAACGGTGACCTTGACCCAACAACCCTGAAACTCTAACTTGTCTGTGATATTATGGTCCTTTGTAATTGTGTGACATTAACCCTGAAACTGGAACTTGTCAGAGATATTATGGTCCTTTGTTGTTGTATGAAGTTTGATCAAACTCCCTGAAGGAGTGAAGCCGCTAGAGTGCTGACAATGAATTTTCTAAAAATAGTAACAGTGACCTTGACTCAACAACCCTTAAATGTGAACTTGTCCAAATATTATGGTCCTTTGTAATTGTGTGATCAAGTTTGATCAAAATCCCTCTAGGAATAAAGCCACTAGAGCGCTGACAAAGATTTTCTCAAATTAGCAACGGTGACCTTGACCTTGACCCAACAACCATGAAACTGGAACTTGTCAGAAATATTATGGTCCTTTGTAATTGTATGAAGTTTGATCAAAATCCCTCATGGAATAAAGCCGCTAGAGCACTGACAAGGATTTTCTAAAAATAGTAATGGTGACCTTTACATTTACCCAACAACCCTGAAACTCAAACTTGTTCGAGATATTATGGTCCTTTGTAATTGTGTGAAGTTTGATCAAAATCCCTCAAGGAATGAAGCCGCTAGATCGTTGACAAGGATTTTCTAAAAATAGTAACAGTGACCTTAACTCAACAACCCTGAAACTCAAACTTGTCCAAATATTATGGTCCTTTGTAATTGTGTGAAGTTTGATCAAAATCCCTCATGGAATAAAGCTGCTAGAGCACTGACAAGGATTTTCTAAAAAAATGTAACCGTGACCTTGACCTTGACCCAACAACCCTGAAACTCGAACTTGTTCGAGATATTATGGTCTTTTGTAAGCGTGTGAAGTTTGATCAAAATCCCTCATGGAATAAAGCCGCTAGAGTGCTGACAATGAATTTTCTAAAAATAGTAACAGTGACCTTGACCCAACAACCCTGAAACTCATTCTTGTCTGAGATATTATGGTCCTTTGTAATTGTGTGAAGTTTGATCAAAGTCCCTCAAGGAATAAAGCCACTAGAGCGCTGACAAGGATTTTCTAAAAATAGTAATGGTGACCTTGACCTTGACCCAACAACCCTGAAACTCCATCTTGTCTGAGATATTATGGTCCTTTGTAATTGTATGAAGTTTGATCAAAATCCCTCATGGAATAAAGCCGCTAGAGCACTGACAAGGATTTTCTAAAAATAGTAATGGTAACCTTTACATTTACCCAACAACCCTGAAACTCAAACTTGTTTGAGATATTATGGTCCTTTGTAATTGTGTGAAGATTGATCAAAATCCCTCAAGGAATGAAGCCGCTAGATCGCTGACAAGGATTTTCTAAAAATAGTTACGGTAACCTTGATCCAACAACCTTAAAACTCAATCTTGTCCGAGATATTATGGTCCATTGTAATTGTATGAAGTTTGATCAAAATCCCTCATGGAATATAGCCGCTAGAGCACTGACAAGGATTTTCTAAAAATAGTAATGGTGACCTTGACCCAACAACCCTGAAACTCAATCTTGTCCGAGATATTATGGTCCTTTGTAATTGTATGCTCCTAGATCAGTTCACCAAATGGTTGACCAGCAGGCAGAAACTGATGCCAAGGCAGCAGTAGATGGTTTGGTTGTCCACTAGAACTCCATACATCCACACAGATCAAGGGGAAAACATGGATGGTAGTGCGCTGCAGGCCACATGCCGTACGTTTGTTGGAGATCTCAAAAATCTGCATGACTCTGTATCATCCAGTATCCAATGGACAGGTGGAGTGGAACAATAGGATCATAGGGGATGTCCTCTTTCAAACATCATGAAGGCCCGAAGAAATGCTCATTACGGGATTATCACATTTGGCTAAAGTGGGTCCATAACCGAGTGCTGGGTTGCGATTCAGAGGAGGAAGGAAGTGATGAGGTAGAGGAGCCAGAAGGGGGTCAGGACTGGAGCGATTTTGCAGAAACTGACTCCAGCATGTCCCTGATGCCCATGTTCAGCAGGTAGATGGCTCAAAGATAGCGGGACCAAGCAGAAGTAGGATGCGCTATCTGGCCACATAGGATATTGGGGATAGTTCCCAGGGAAATTGGGGAGGGTCGACTTGGTATGTGGAAGGGTTTTTAGTATGTACACATGTATTAACTGATGCATAAACAAGAGGCCCAATGGGCCTGCATCGCTCACCTGGTATAAATCTCACACTTGTAACCTTAAAAGTGATCTAAAATAAAGCTACAGGCAAAAATAATCAGTATTTATGATTAAAGTTCATTCAAAAGAACCTGTTATTTTTTTTTTTAAACATTTAACCCCTGTGATTGAAAGATCGAACAAAATCATTATGTTGAACAAATTTTATAGCCTTTCATCTCAGGATGCAACTTGCAAAGTATCAACATCCTGGGACCCATGGTTATTCAGAAGAGGTTGTTTAAAGATTTTAAACAAATTTGACCCCTGTGACCTTGAATATAAGTCAAAGTCATTCACTTTAACAAACATAGTAGTCCTTGATCCCAGCATGCTACTGACTAAATATCAACATCCTGAGCCTTTTGGTTATTCAGAACAAGTTGTTTAAATATTTTGAACATATTTGCTCCTTGTGACCTTGAATATGATTCAAGGTCATA